TTTTTTCAATTTTGTGTGCTAAAGATAATAGATCCCCAATAAGAATTTAGAAAATATGTATTATATTGGGATTTAAAAACTTAAGCAATTATTCAATGAATATTTATAATTCATAAAAATGAACCATCTATCAAGTATATCTAAATCAAATACTAGATTCCAATATACATCAAATAATTATTATTCAAGACAATTGTATGCAGTGTCTGGTCATGTTTTATTAGTATTTGAGCGTTTACACTTTCTACACATTATAAAAAATTATATAGAATGCTGAAAATAGTGTGATAAAAAGTTACTTTTTAAGTTTTACTCTCATTATCATAATTTATTAATTTATTACAAAATAAAAAAGTTTTTGTCTCAATAGTTTTGAGATATATGTATAACCATACAGTTCATATCATTCTATTAGTATGAAAATAATATCAATAATTATTTCTTGTTCACGTAATGTTTATACAATAACATTGATAGTTAAATGATAACATATGTTCATTGGTTTTCTATTGTTTTATTTATTMATTTGTTTGATAATGTTATGTGAATGGGTTTTAACTTTAAATGGCAGAATACAATGTAATACACTACTGAAATACGAGTTAAAAATATTATTTTGGAAGTCTTTTTTTAATTAAATTTCTCCTTCTCCCATTACTAATGATAAAATAAATAAAAACTTCATATTAATTGTATAATAAAGGCAAATGATAATGCATTAATACAAGTTAAATAATATAAATGTCGCTATTATTAAATTTTCATCATCTAAATTAACTCAAAATATCATTATCAGTAATTTTCTTTTTCTTTTTGATTTGCTTTGAATGAAGAATAATTAAATATTAAAATGTACGATATAAATAATATATTATTTTTAAGGCTAATAAGTAATAACCTTACTTGTTGAAGCCACTTTTCTCTTTCAATAAAAAAAAACATTTTTGTACTAATTTCAATTTCCAGTATACGTATATGATATATATATATGCATTCAGGTTGCCTGCATAATTTTATATAGGTACCTATTTTAAATTAAAAAATGTATATAAATTAAAAAATTGGAAGGACCTCCCCTGTATGTGTACTTATATAATTTATGAGTGTAGTGTGTCTCACTAGTGTTTGTACTTTTAAAAATCGACGGATATCTTTAAAAATGTAATTATACTCAAAAACAAAAATAAAAAAGTACGAACATCGTGAAATACCTACCTATATACAGATGTTAATTATATATATATATATGTATTTACTTTGTGTACTTATATATTAGACTTAAACTTAATGTTTTAGGCATTATACGTATCGGAATTATTTGCGTCAAAATATAAATCTCTCCGAAAACGCAATTCTTCAGCAGACGACATCGACACTGCAAATAATTTACAAACAACCGAACTCAAATAAATATGCACTAATGCTTCAAAATTGCATTTAAATTGTATGAGTATTCTTGAATATTTCGTTAATATATTGATTATTATAAATAATTTGACTAAATTAAATTGAATTCCTTCATTTGTTTGACAAAAAAATTAAAATGTCCATTCTAAATTCTATTTATATTTATTATTTAAAGATATTTTCAAAACTGTAATGAAGAACATCTAATCCCAATTTTTATTTTTTTTTATTAACAATTGGGTATTATAATTTACGGTAATTTTAAAAATCTAATGATATAAAACCAACAATACAAATTCA